TCTGAACACGCTGTGAGTTATTACAGTCAGTTCAGGTGGGGTCTTTTGAACATACTTTTACAGAAACTCCTTCATCTTTTCCCTCATTCCGTATAATGCCTGGTGCGCCGATGAATACACCGCGTAACTCGTTTTATAGAATATTCAGGGCAGGAGCTGATTCGCAAAATTTCTACCAAACGACTGTGTTTTCTTCTGTGTTTACCGACGTTGTTGATATTGATGCACCGCTTTATTTGCAGGAAACTCGGTATCACGACGAATCGGCCAGAGGATGCATGCCTTCTGATCGCTTCTGTGGAAAGCGATGACGATGTGGCATCCTTAAAGTATTGGAACGCCGGTCGAAACCACGTTCTACTGAACATTGGAAAAGGGTCGTTGGCTAATTACCCGAATGCAATCGTGGTTTCCGCTTCTTTTCATCCAAAGTAAAATTTATGCACGATTTCGGAGTGAGAAAAATTAACATTGTATTGGCAAAGATGGGCAAATATCGTTGTACGGCGAAATTATTAGCTTTCCAAGTTAAGTAGTGCCCGAAGTGTGTTAGCAGTAGGGAGGGCAACGGCACATTAAACTGATTCTACTGTTTCTGTTGTTTAAAGTGGTAAACACGAAAAGCATAAGTCGATAAAAAATTGACAGTTGCATGGACTGAGGCTATAAATTATCGAATTTTTTCACATATGACTTTTCCGCTGAAGCCACGCATTATTATTGTAAATGTAATCTATAAAATATTAAATACCAGCCCTTTTAATTTTAGATCTTCCTTTCACCTTTCTTCATCTTTTTTCAAAACTAAAACAATCGGCCCTCTCTTTTCTTCACAAAAGCCTTTGCTTTGTATCCTGCAACTAATCACCCTTTATATTGGGAGTGAAATGTCTAATGCCTAGTATTATGATCTCTGTGATTATATGTCTTTGTTACTAACGCCAAATAGCGGTTAACACAAAGGAGGTCTGGGATGAAACTCCCCTCCTCCTCCCCCCAGACGAGGCAAAAAACTATATAAGCCCTCAGTTTCCTTATTCGTGGTCTGGATCATCTGGGTCATCAGCATCATCGGGGAGAAACGTCGGCAGCACCAGTCATCAGCATCATTACCCTCGACACTCCACATCTTGAACAACACTACTAAAAAAGAGTCTACTTTTGGAAAACCTCGCCACATCCGGACGTTGGCTATTCCCTTGCGACTAATGGTACTTCTCCACGACATACGTACTTGATGCGTTTTTCTTTCCTTTACGCTGCATATAACGGATAAAGCCTCTTGCTAGCCAGCTGCTGCCATGCACCCATAAGTGTCGCATCTTTACTTTATGTTTAGAGGGAGGTGACAACCTATGGAGTAGGTGAAAGGTATAACCAGAACTGTGAGGGAGAGGAAAGGAGGGAAGAAATGTTGTACAAGAATTCCAATAATTGGTAGTATGATATGACATCGGTGATAGCGATCTTGGCAAGTTTCGTAGATGGCTTTAAGGTGGGTCCCGATGAAACATTAGCCATAATTAGCTTGGTCGAACAGCTTTTTGCTGGATGCTACCGCAGATGGTTCAAGTATCTTGCCGTATTTTGATACGTTGTTAAGTTTAGACGTCTTTTTGTTTCTTAAAGTTTTTGTTGCTTCAGGTTTTTCAAAGAGGATTTCGATTTTTCCTTAAATTTGAGAGTTCCTGACTACGACAAAAACCACTGGAAACAGTTACCGGCTTTATTACCTTTGGCACGAAAAGTAAGTACTTTTTATAGAAGAATGTGCCGGTAATGAATACGCTGTGGAAAAATAACTTGAATGAGTTAAATAAAAGTGCTACTGTTGTTGGATTTTCAAATTGGACTTTGTGAAAGCAGCAGCTTCTGGTGAGGCCTTCACAATGTACCATTCTTATTTTGAACAAAAAATTAAAAAAAAAAATGCACAGAGGGACTGGAACAAGGGTTAAAAGGTCGTTAAACCAAAAAATTTCGTTATAAGACTTTATCACCATTGAATTTTTGACTCCTCACAGTACTTTATCAAAT